CCTTCTGCCGCAGTGATTAGATCAACAAAATGTGGGGTTGACTCCTGAATAATGAGGTTAGAGATGAGATCATGCTGTGCTGGAGAGATGGTCAATTAGCTAATTGAATTGCCTCTAAAATGGCACTGGATCAATATTCCAGCACAGTCCTGGTGCTGCAGCAACCCTGGCCAAGCCAACAGCTCCCTGCGAGGATCCGAAATGTTCAGCCTGGGTTGGGATGTGAATCTCTGAGAGCCTGACCCACCAGGACATGAGCTGCTCCTGGAGTCTGGTCTGACCAGGCTTCACAGCCTCGTCTGTGTGTTTTGGAAAATGTTTTCCATCAGACTAGGAGGGAAATGGGAAGGTCTGGAGGGAACTCGGTGGGGAAGATGTTCTGCCTGGCTGGAGACCAAGGACCTGCCCTGGACCTGCACAGCACACTCTGTGGAGGGGTGGGAGGGACACTGTGACCAGTTCTGGGGTCCCCAACACAGGAAGGACATTGTCTAAAATTTCCTGCTAGGATGAGAGGAGCTGCTTGTTTCTCACCATGAGCACGTTGGTTGCATCGTGTGTCTGGTTTGGAAACGGGTGTTGCAGCAGGTTCAGGTTTGCTCACATATTTTTTCCTCTCCAACAACCTTGCCCAGGTTTTTAGTGCCCACAAACCATCCTGCTTCAGCCATGGGGCACCTGGGGCACCAAACACACACTCGTCTTGCTGAGACATGTTCCAGGATCATCCCCACCAAGGAGAGCCCCACGGGTGCCACCAGCACCAGCTCTGCCTGGGGCTGCCCTGCCTCTGCACTGGCACAACTGTACCCTCTGCAGGGAACAAATCAGGCAGTAAACAGGGTTTTATTGTGCTCAGTTTTACCTTGTAGCCAATCTCAGGCTGCATTCAAAGCTGGGGAATCTAATCCTTGCTTTTGATTGATTCCTTTCCTTGCATTTCCCTGCTCCTCCCTTCCCTGTGCTCTTCCCTTCTGCCGCAGTGATTAGATCAACAAAATGTGGGGTTGACTCCTGAATAATGAGGTTAGAGATGAGATCATGCTGTGCTGGAGAGATGGTCAATTAGCTAATTGAATTGCCTCTAAAATGGCACTGGATCAATATTCCAGCACAGTCCTGGTGCTGCAGCAACCCTGGCCAAGCCAACAGCTCCCTGCGAGGATCCGAAATGTTCAGCCTGGGTTGGGATGTGAATCTCTGAGAGCCTGACCCACCAGGACATGAGCTGCTCCTGGAGTCTGGTCTGACCAGGCTTCACAGCCTCGTCTGTGTGTTTTGGAAAATGTTTTCCATCAGACTAGGAGGGAAATGGGAAGGTCTGGAGGGAACTCGGTGGGGAAGATGTTCTGCCTGGCTGGAGACCAAGGACCTGCCCTGGACCTGCACAGCACACTCTGTGGAGGGGTGGGAGGGACACTGTGACCAGTTCTGGGGTCCCCAACACAGGAAGGACATGGAGCTGTTGGAGCAAGCCCAGAGGAGGCCACAAAGATCATGGGAGGGCATGTTATGAGGGCAGCAACAGCTTTTCGAAGGAGCAACTTTGGATCTTGTAAGGAGCATTGGAGGGCCCAGCCAGCCAGGAGCTCCCTCTGACCTGCTCAAAGGAGACCTAACAGCCCCCAGTCTGCAGCTGGGAGCCACTGGGAGCCCCTCACTAGGGGTGAGGCAGAAACCAGCCCAGAAGACAACCCCCTCCTTCTGTGTTGTGAAAGCAGGTGGCAGGGACGCAGAGGTGCAGGGCAGTGTGATGGCAGGGCCAGCCCACCCGAGCCCCACGTGTCCCCAGCACAGCCCTCGTGGGGTGGGCAGTGCCAGCACCATGGCTGAGGCACCTGCAGGTAACCCCTGTGGGTCACTGAGGGGGTCTGGCTCCGAATGGATGACCACCCAGGTGGGTACCCAGCTGGAAAGCCTGGCACTGCCACCGGACACTGGCAGCAGCAGCCACCCCATCCTGGAGCTGCCACCCCATCCTGGAGCTGCCACCCCCTCCCGGAGCTGCCACCCCCTCCCCGGGC